TGCTCTCCTGTGTAGAGCTCAGCTGAATTGTGTAATTAGCACCCTGGTTTCCTTCAGTGCTCTCTCTTAAGGATTGTAAGTCCCCTGACTGATATAGGCATTCAAACTCCGAGAGCTCCTCAAATAAATCCTGATCAATCAGACCAAGTTTAAGAGAATCAATCACAGAAAATCTCATCCCTGATAAATGATGTATGATTCCCCCATCTTGTATATGTTTGGTTAAAAAAAGAATAGCATCAGATCTGCTAATAAGACCTTGACTGATCGCCTCTATAACAGACAAGGGCTTCCTAGATTTTGGATCTGTGATCCCTGTAGTTTCTATCTGTAAGCCTAGGAGTTTCTCTGTAGTAGTTTTGTCTGTGCTTTTTCCTTTATAAACTTTCTCTAACTTAATAAGTTCAGCTTTGTCAGAAGGATTTATCAAGTTTGAACTGGATGCTAGTGTGACAGATATTCTTTTGTCCCTTTTCACATCACATACCCCACCAGTGATGACCTGAACTTCTAAAATCTTTTTGGCTATGTGTTTATCAACAAGGCCAGATTTCAGTGACTCTTGCACAGAATATAGTGTGTTATTTTCTATATCCACAATGCCACTCACAGACTTATCAGAGGTGAAAACCCTTTGTAGAAGATTTTCATCCATCAGGCCTTCATCTATCACATCCTGAATTGTTAACGCCTCACATGTTTGTGAGTCAAAGAACCCTGAAAACAGCCTTACTCTCTCCATAAGCTTTAAAGCAGTGTGGCTAGAGATGACACCCAGAGCCACAGCATCATTAAGTAGAAGTTTACATCCTGAATTTGGATCGATAATACCTCCATTTATTAGCTGGTCTGACAAGATAGATAAAGTTTGCTCTTCTTCCATGTCAAAGGGATATTCATCAGTATTAACCTTTGCAAAGGCTAATGAGCCATCCGACTCACTGAGCTCTGATGCTGTTCCAAGTTGGTATCCAATCGCTGGAGGTACAATAGAACTATTCTCAGGATCTAAACTATCAAAAATGGATGAGGCCTCTGTAACAGATTTTCCTGAGATATTAACTTCCATAACTTCCATTGGGAAATCCGCATCATCTGGCATACTGTCAGACACTGATGCTAACAGTGTTTGTTCGACAGCTGAAGCCTTCCTAGCAGAAGGCTTCAGCTTCTGGTTTTTTTTAACAGAAAGCACAGGTTTAGCTATATCACCTACTCTAAATGTCTCCAAATCTAGTATCTGAATATTTTCCAGTACATTATCCTTAGTGACATTCTCTAAAGATGCTTGTACATTTTTGCCGTGGAGTAAATTTTGAAACTCAAAAGTGGTTTCCTCACATGCTTTAAGATAACCTGGACTTGAGGACATATTGTTCCCTCCTGGCAGACACTGGTTTGTCTGTGGCTTATTCACTGTGTCTGAGTTTAAGTCTGCAATAGCTGCCAGAAGTCCTGAGTTTCTTATCTGCTCCTGATCAAGACACTTTCTCTTGGCAATGTCTTTCACGTCAAAACTTTCTCCACTGGAATTGTTTCTATTCTTCTGCAGGAATAGCTCAGCTGCTTGGTTTTCTCTGCTGTCAATAAGCAGCATTCTTTGTCCATTATGAATGTTTATGTAACTGAAGTGCTTTAAATTAAACATCAGTCTTTCTTCAGCCTCCGATTGTGAATATGTGTGCATTTTCCAAGCAGTGCTGTCAACAGGATATAAACTGCTAGTTCCAGATACCAGTGTTGGCTGGGCTCCAGACTCTCTGGTGTTTTCTGCTGCCAGACACTGCGGTACATCAGGAATAGTGATGGATTTTAACATTTTGGCACTGCTTTCATTTAAGATACCACACTTTATAACTCTGTCCCAAGGCATGACTTCTTTGTTTTCCGATATGTAAGTACATTGAATTCTGTGTCTGTTGGCAAGTGTTTTCATAGCTAGGTCACTAGAAACAATGTCATCCTGAAGGGCATCTGATACTGATAGGATTTCACCTGTTTCTGGCCAAAGTAAACCCCTAAAGGAAGACATTGACTCAATAACAAGAAGAGCTAGTTTTGGAGCAACAAGGTTGAGTTTTACTGCCTCATCCAATGAAACTCTTTGTCCAGTTATGACATCTATAATGCCTCCATATTGAAGTTGTCTTGCTAGTAGATCACAAGCCATGTCTTTGTCCATCAGATGGTATCTCAATGCTTCAGCTACACTAAGTCTATGACCAGTTTTGGGATCTACAATTCCACCAGCAAACAACTGGGCCTCCAACAGCCTCACTGCTACTTGCCTATCAATGAGTCCTTCTCGCACTGCATTGAAGATGCTAACTTTTTTACCTGACTTCAGACATACCACTCCACCAGCTAACTGCTTAACTGGAAGAAGTCTCAGCCCAGTGGACTCATGAATAATGCAGCTCTCCATGATTTCAGCCAGACTTACTCGTTTTGCTGTATTTGGGTCAATTACATTTTTAGATGAAGTCTCCAACTTTTCCTTCAGAACACTACATAGCAACACATTTTTAGTTGACTCATCTAAGTCAGTAACTTCACCGTTGGGTGTTAATCTGAACACACCACATGCCAAGTAAACATGCAGCATTTTAAGTGCAACATTTTCACTGATTGTTTCTTCTTTTGTAGATCTAATAAGAGGCAGAATTCTTTCTTTTCCAGTTTTATATTTTGCCAACAATGCATTAGCTCTGCTAAAGTCCTGAAGACAACTGAATAATCTATGATCAATTAGTTTTCTCTCAAGAGCTTTTTCTAAAGTCAGTCTTTTATCAGTTTCAGAGATAATGAAGCCAGTGAGGACAAGCTGAACTTCCAGAAGTATGAGGCCAGTATCCTGGTCAATAAGGCCTTTCTGCATAGCCCAGAAGATTGGAAAGATCTCCATAGAGCCCATGTCTATAACTCCAGCAATGGCAAGACACTCCTGAAATAGGAAAAGATCTCTGTTAAGGTCTGAAATCATTAGCAACAACAAGAATAGACATAGTGGAAGACAATGGAAAACTCAAATTTCAAGACAAAGCAACTAACTATATAAGTAAATCTAACACCAAAATGAACCAGGAAAGGTACCATGCAAAGCCTATACAGAGAACAGGACAGAAATTATAGCAAGCACCGCAACCAGCTGAGTGCAAAGCTGCAGCAGACAGGATTTAGCACTACATATAGGACACAATTGGTTTAAAGGGTAAACAGAGGGGGGGAAGATGATTGCATACATCAGTCTTTGCAATTAGGTCACAAAACATAACACCACCACCAGATGCTTAAAATAAGATATATTGTTTGATCAGACATACACCATGCAACTTATAGTTCAAAAATCATATTACTTGCAAAAATTAGATCAAGAGGGCACTATAGCACAAATCTCTTGCAGCTTGCTAGGTCTGGCAGTTGACTAGCTGAATACAATACCTTACAAGTTGTGCCTACATGCATATCATTAGAACACATAAAAAGGGAACACAGACACAGACAATATGTAACATTAAGAAAAGAGGTAAACATAAAAGGTTTTTACTTACCAGAGGCGAAGTGATTGCCGTGGAAACGCAAGATACAAAAGAACCTTTACGCGAAGATGTGTAACACACAGGAAAAGCTTTGGTGTTAGCGTCCAGCATGCCAGCATTGTTTGCAAGACATAATCCCCACATATGGGGATCTTCCACTCCTTGTTTTGAGACACAGGGGATCATGTGTACTCCCCTGGTTGGTTAGTTAAACTGATAAGCAGGGATGCTAGTTAATTATTTTTAAGACATAAATAGGACACATCGTGCTCAGTACAAAAAAAACAAAACACACTTCCACATTGTTAATTGTGCTGCACTGTATAAGGCTTGTTAAAAGCAAACACGAAATTGGTTAAAAGTACAACAAACTTTCCAAGAAGACCATGAAGATCTACTTGGACATTCACATGCGTACATGAAGACAGTAAAAACAACGTAAAGACAAACTGTTAGGATGTGTGGTTTGCATGATGTTCACAAAAAAAGCACAGCAAAATAGCATCTGATCTACTTAACCACTTAGAAGATGAAACCATGTGAGAAGTGAGAGGCACAGGAATCAGACTACAGAAGTGCTCCTGATATTACACTGGGCATATTTATGATATTTTAGTTCAAGTATTATGTTGTCATTGCCCTTTACAAAAATATCCATTAAAACTGATATGCTTTGTGACACAGTCTAAATTATTAAGGATTATTACATTAAAATTCCCATGCAAAAGCTAAGAAAATTATTTAAAGGAGGATGATGGGATGAGTGAAATACACTCATCACTATAGTTGGAGCCGACCCTGTGACACTGAAGCTGTCACACGTCGGCTCTATTGATCAAAAACTGAGCGATCACAAACCGATGATCGCTCAGTTCACGATCTTCTCACGGTCAGTCACCGCTCCTCGCAGGGATTCCCCCCTCCCTCTCCATTCCTCCAGCACTGACTGGAGGGACGGACAGGGCAGGCAGAGCTGCCTTTGCCTCTAAAGAGGCAGAGCCATCTGTCAATTAGGCAGTGGGGTGAATCCCGACAATATTGTCGGGATCCATCTCGGCTGCAGTGCGGCTCTGCGCTGTCAGCATATAGTGGGCAATCGCTCACTATATGCTGATTTTTGGGTCACAGAAGGACATTAGTATATGTCCTCCTGTGACTCTAAAGAGAACCACAGCCAAAAAAAAAGGTTTGGCCATAGTTTTCTTTTAATGAACAGTCAGAATCATGGTGATGTTGAACCGTTTTCATAAGACAAATCAGAAACAAAACTTGTGTGTACAGAAGGCAAATTCATAAAATTTAGAGCCTCTCACTTCTCCCTCTGCATATAAGAACATACAAATGACCGTATAGCTGTGATAACCAACTGGTAATCTACCATCTAAAATGTACATGATATAATGGGACTAAATATAAACATATATACAGATGCATATGAACAAAATGTGCTAAGAAGAATACCTTTTGCTCAGCTGCCCGAGCAAGCTCAGTATGCAGCTCCTGAATCTGGTTACCAGACTCTTCACAAAGCCGGTTGTATGTTGCCTTTAACTCCTGGATCTGGGAAGATATCTGTGCTCGCTCCTCAGGCGACAACCTGTTGACAGGAAATCAGATGTAAAATGAACAGCTCGAAGAACATGACACATCAAAACCATATAGAGCACCCCAAAACTTACTTATCACCATTCTTAGCCAGGAAGATCTGCATTGATTTCACAGCTTCCGAAATGTCCTCCTTTTTTGAGAGCAGCTCCTCGCTTTGCGCCTAACACACAGACAAGGAAACATTTTAAGCACAGTGAAAATAAAACCTGCACTGTTGGATAAATCTAGTGTAAAAACATTTTTTATGCAACAGGGCAAAAGCCATCATCCACATAAACATCACATGAACTGCAACGCAACAATGTTATGCTTGTTTGCATTTCCTGGGATCTTTATGTTTGGTTTTATTCAGATGTTTTATCTATGAAGGATGTAAATATTGGACTTTGTTCCGTTCTTTACCTATACAGACTCATCTGTAATCTGTATCCTGCTATGACTAAGGCCAGGATTGGCTGAAACGCAAGAATGGATGACGGTTGTCAGCAATAGTTTTTCCAAATTAATTGAAAACAATGTGCACAATACTGTAAAAAAAATGCATCTAAAGCTAATATTTGTGGATAGTGGAGTGGGGGAAGGGTCAGGTTTTTATTGCAGCCTCTATTTATCCTGATGAGTATTGCCAAAAGGACTTATCAAAAGAAAATACAAAAATTTGAGATGTCACTAGACTACAACAGGATTATCCTTCCTCTGGAGATATCCTCTCTTATTCCTTGTTGCATCTCAAAACAGGTAGTGAAGAAAATTCTTTCCAAAGGCAAAAGCAACTCAGGGCTTTTCACTTTGCGAATCTATGCTAAACTAAAAAAAGGCTTTAGATATACTTCAATTTTCTATGTTGTCCTAACAAGGCAGACTGGTATTTATGTACCTGTTTTTCTGATATGGATTTCGTGAGATCAGCACTGTTGGAACCTCGCGCACTTGATACAACATGAGCAATGCCCGCTACCCAGCCAGCAAGCTGTTTCAAACCATCAACTTGCTTCTCCTTTTCCTCCTCAAGAACTTTCTGTAAATATACCAAAAACCAAAGAATATTATATAATAGTTATTTTTATTCATGTTATATATATATATATATAATTCTAATTCTAACATGAATACAAATAATCATACATGAACTACTCCTAACATGGAATTAAAAAAAGTCTGTAGCATTAGCCTACAAGGCTTTACCTCTTCACCCTCTAATCTCCGCAGAGAGTCACTGATGTACTTGACATGCTGAGTAGTTAAAGTGACCAGAGCAGTGTAACGGGTACGCAAATCCATGAACTGTGAAAGAAATTAGGTCAGTGTGGACTCTTCACTCATTCAGAGAAAAGAAAAACATAGAACATGGCAACCGCTCCTGCTTACCTCTTGAGTTATTACATCTGAAGATGACAACATCCGTCTTCGCTTCATTGGAGACTTCTGTTGCGATTCTACGAAAGCCTTATAAGTCATCAGCTGCAGTTCATAGTCCTGTGTCCGAAAAGAAAAAAAGATTTTTAAATAGATCTAGAAATGGCTGCATATAATCTATGTTGATCATCTAGAACTGATCTTAAACAACATTCACACAGATTAATCTGCATGTTAAGTTCTATTTTACTAACCTTCACAGAAACAGAATATTGCTGTGAAAGGGTCTGACATTCATCCAGACGAGACTGATTCTGCTCTATTTCCGCCACTAGAGCCTTAGAAGAGAAAAGAAAAGTTCATGATCAAGTATTGCCACAGTGCTCTAATTGAAGTGTCTAAACTTAGGGAGATTTCCTTTTATAAGAGCCTAGAATACTTTCTCCTACTGTGATACTATGGATAGCAGTCGGAAACGTGTCAGTGCCTAGTAAAAGAATAAAAGTAAACCTTTTGTTTTGTCATTCAGTTGTGTGTAGCATATATGAAGGGAAATTAAGTACCTAAACCTTCTTAAATGTTCCTAAATCTCATCAACAAAGATTCTGCAATTCTGTAAATTAGTGTTTACCTTTTTATGTAACAAAAAAACAAAACAAAAAAGACAGCCAAAATCTTACAGGCTGCCATAGGCAGCATTTTACTCATTTTCACAAGAAAGTGTTCTATTTCTCCTGTGTTGAGTAAGTTCCCCACAGGTTTACCGTCTGTTGGTTGAGCTGTTCTGACAAGACTCTTCTGTCCTCTGATTGTCCTGGTTTCATCATCTCCTGCTGTGCTTTAGTAGCCTCTATCCATTGCACCAGGCTGTCATGGTGCCTTCTGTAATTTTTCAGCGTGTCTTTGATCGCTGCAAGCTCCAATTGCCTGAAAAAGGAGGATAAAAATATCAATCTAATTTTTTAATTTTTTTTAATAAAATGTAAAGCTGAAGTTTACTCTGCATATATATTTTGCCTTGCCTGGGTTCTCCTTTGCCTTTTCAATAACATGCTGATTAAATGTTTTTATTTAAACATTGTATTTTCATTAAATAAGCTCATAAAACATACCTTATTTCAGCCAAAGTGATGTCTTTACTGGGTCTCTGTGCTTCTCTAAGCAATACAGGCAGATCATCACTGGTATGAGAGGAAAGCGGGGTGCTGTGCAAAGCTTCATGAGAACATCAGAGCACGCTACCTCAGTAATCCGCTCAAGAGCATTCAGCACTAATGCCAGCAGAAGGCTTGCACTTGGGAGGAGTTATGCAAATATCAAAATGCCTTGATGGGTGGCGTCATGCTGGAGGAGTGGGTGTTCTTAGGCAAACTGCATTTCAATGTAGATTGCCCTAGGTAATGCCCACATGTCATGCTGAGCTGCCATGATTTCAAGCACTGAAATAAATTCAATGAATGAAAGGGAGGGCCAGGAATAGTCAAGCTAGGAAGGAAAGAGCTAGATGATGCTTCCTCCAGCAGGAAATGAGTTGGGCTTTATCTGACTCACTACAACTTTTATTGCGAGAAGTTCAAAGGATGCAATGAACTCAAAGAAATCATTTTCAGTACAAGACAGGAGGAGCCTGTACATCTGTGCAAGACTGAATGTAAGGTTGGAGTCCAGCTTTAAATATTCAGGAAAGAATAAGAAAATACCTTGTTTCTAGCTGGGTGTGCACTCCACTCCATCGTTCTCGAAGTTTGGAGGTCTTTTCCTGATACTGGTCTACATCTAGACTGCGTTCTTGTGTTTGCTGATTTAAACGGTCTCTCACTTCTTTTGCTTTGACAACATCCTCTTCCATTGAAGAAATGATGTTATCCTTCTCCATTGCCTCTCTCATCCATTGCTGAAAGAAGGTTGTAAACTACTATTAGCACCAGTTTTACTTTGCAATTTTAAAATGAAAATTGCACAGATCCCTTACTTGTAACAAGACTTCCTGGCCCTGAATAGCTGCTGGATCTGCAGGGATAGTATCTTCCTGACTCAAACGCGCCTCATAGCCTTTTACCAGAGCTTCTGCTCCTTGAAGACTCCGAATAATTACATCTACTGTCTTCAGCCTAAAAAAAAATTGAAAAACATCAACCAGGTCTTAAAACAGCATGAAAGTCATTCTTATACACAAAGTCAGACATTTATACAATTCAGCTACTAAAAAATCTATATTTAATTTTGCCTTAAGAGACATTCTCTGCACACTTCTACAACAGGCTTGAAAAATCAAATGCTTAATATTTTTGTCTAATATTCTCTTTAAAGGGAACCAGTAAGGACTGAAAAAACAAGATCTTTGTACTCACAGAAAAATCCTTGTCTTGGATTCCACTGAGGGACACAAGAAGTCTTCAATTTTTCAGTATACTACTGCCTGGCAAACAAAGAAATTGTAGGCCAGCCCAGGAGAACTCCTACCAGCTACCTCATACTATGTCCAGTTATTTACAAACATTCAGTGATCAGCTGATTGCTGAATGTTTGTATACTGATCTCCATCCTGGATCGGCTGTCACAGGAGGCAGAGCTGGCGGTGCAGGGAGGAGAGGTCAGTCTATTTTGACAGCCGAGTCCTTCCCCACACCACCGGCTCAGCCTCCTGTGACAGCCGATCCAGGATGGAGAGCAGTACAAGCAGTCACTGATCAGCTGATCGCTGAATGTTTGTAAATAACTCGACCTAGTATGAAATACTATGTACCAGTTATGAATAAATAGGAGGTTGAGCGGGGTGGCGCGGGAGGAGAGCTTGGCCTCCCGTGACCGCGCTGACAGCTGTCATTTCCCCCATACCTCTCTCCATTCTGATCGGTTACAAGAGGCTGAGCAGGGTGGTGCGGGAGCTCAGCCTCCTGTGACAACAATAATCATACCGCTCTCCTCCCCGCCCAGCCACCTGTGACAATAATCATACCGCTCTCCTACCCGCCCCGCTTGGCCTCCTAACAGTTTATCTTCTCCCCGCTGGATGCTGCCCTGTGTCAGCTCCCAGCGATGAGGAGAGAAACTAGAGATGCACTGTAATTTCGTCCGAAAGATGGTACTTTCGGCATTTTGCTAAATATGTTTCAGTGGTCGAAATTTCGGTGCATCCCTTATTTTATATATGTTACCCCTTGTATACACTGGCAAATACCCTTGTTTAATTCATCCTGAAAACACTCCCACTTGTTTTTCGTGTTTTTCTTTTTGAAGAATATTTGATCCAGTTGGGTATCATGAAGTACTGCAGACCTTGCCTTTTAAAAATTTAGCAATCTTGCCATACCAACAAGCCTCTTTTTCCTGTAACTTACAGCAATCAGTTACATTATGATCACTATTACCCAAACTGTCTCTAATTTGCACATCTGTAATGAGCTCTGTGTTATTTTAATATCTGTAATTGATGGATCCAATAGCATTTTTTTTCGATTGGGGTTTCCACCATCTGACCTACGAAACTGTTCTGCAATAAGTTCAACACCTTAGAAGCCTTACTTGAATGTACATTTCTATTTGCCCAATCAATATCAGGATAGTTGAAGTCCCCTAATATAATTACATTGACCTGTTTCCAAACACTTCCAATAAGTGAAAGTAGCTGAAACTCTTAACCACCTCAATACCAGCAAAAATTGTGGCCAAAAATTAGATCTCCTTGGAAGAGTGGGGGGGTCTCCTTTTCAAAATAGGGTCATTTAGGGGGTATTTGTACTATCCTGGCATCTCTATTTGATAAGGGAAAAAGTTATTTTTAAAGATGTTTGCTTTTTCTTCATTTATATAGCAAAGAATAATAATAAAATAAGTTATCAAATCACACCAAATAAAAGTTCTATCTTACTCAAAAAAAAAAGATATAACATTCATTTGGGTACAGTGTTGTATGTCCAAGTAACTGTCAAACTACCACAGGTCTGAAAAATGGCCTGGTAATGAAGAGGTATTACAGGCCGGTACTCAAGTGGACATGCACATATTCTACCAGAATGTTAAGCGCCCTGTTAAAGTAAAACGCTATTGGATCGACAGTGGGAATAGACCGCTTCTACACAAATCCTCAATAAACAGCAATAAACACACAGCTTGTCAGGACGTTTACCATCTCCACTGATGAATAATTGAAAAGGTGGGTGCAAAGGAAAAGTCTGTGCAGTATCAGGAGTGTCAAACAACCCAAGACAGGAGACAGCACTGGTACTAAAAACCTGATCCTGCTGTTTCTGAGTTGTGCACAATGATTCAAAAAGAACCACAGTCTCCTTAAAGAGTAATTCCACTTTCCCAGGCAAATTTGAGAAAATGGAATTACCCCCTCCAATGAAGAAGCAAAAAAAAGTCTCAACACAGCAAAGGTGTAGAAAACACATCCATCCCCTAGGGCCAAGAGTAAAAATTGAGGTATGCTGGTAGTGGAAATGGTTAACCTGGGCTCGCCTACAGTTTGCTTGCCAATATCCAATCCTCCTGTAAGCGACAAGTTTAAAGACTTCCTGTGTCTCTCAAAGGAAGAGACAGAAATAGGAACTTCCATTGCTGGTGTTTTTTGGCGGAGGTTTGGCTGTACTCCTTACTCTGCCCTTAGTGAAAAGTGAGTTGATGACATAAAAGTGGATCATATTTACCTTCCAGAGGCAACTGCCTATCGCTGTAGCTAACATTTTCTGCTATTCTTCTTCTGGGTTCAGAGTTTTCAGCCACCTCGAATGGCCAATCCACGACGGAGTAACTCCAACACAGGCAATGGGAGTAACTTTGTTCTGCCACCCACAGCATGCCGAGATTGCATACTGAGCTGTGAAAACTCTGAACTCCTGCTCTAAATAAATGTTCTGGACAAGTGACTCACTGTGTATGAAATTCATGATCAAGATGAAAACACTGAAGCCTACGCCCCTATAAGCAAGGCTTACAATATTGCTGGCCTCCGAGGATCTGCCCATACAACACTAACATACTTTGGTTCTAAATAATTGACGCTGGGTTGAATCACCTTGTTTTTTTTCTGTTCTACTTAACTTATTCTAAAGGGCAACTGTGTCAAGATCTCTTTTGCTACAGTCATTACAAACAAAAGTCTCACGCAACCGTGATTGCTCCACATAAAAGAAGAAGAAAGTATCCAGCTATGAGAGTAAGACACCAGTGACTCAAGCAGGTTAAACTGGGAATCCAGGTTCAGAGTTTGTACTAAAAGAGTTCTCAAGACATATACCTGCTGCCACCTACATAAAACTAGACCACTATGTGGAGAAAGTAATATTTAAAATATGAACCAGAGTTTAAATGGTGTCTTTTCTATGGTATCTATCTCTTCTCTATGTTCAATGGAAGATTTCAATGACTAAGGCAAAATAAGCCCTTGGTTGGGACAGATTTGGATGCCTTTTCTGAATCTTACAAAGCACTCACTTTTCTAAGAAAACAGAAGACAAGCCATAAACATGGTCCATTTTCCCGACCAACAGGTCCAGTTGTGAGCGAACATTTGGGGTACTGGAGCCAGAGGGAGACATGTTGAGGAAATGGTCACATCGCTCAGAAACCAGCGACAGCTCAGATTTCAACCTCTTCAGTTCCTCCTGCATTCTCTATGGACAACAATCAAAGGACAGAACTCAGTGAAAACAGCAAACATGTGTGAGGACAATTTTACTGGTTAACCTAGTACCAACCTCTTGTTCAGATATCTGGACAGTACTTTCATGCACAGCATCCACATCGCTACCCAGGACAGTCTGTAATCTCTTCACCAGCCTTTGCTCGCAGTCCTCCAAGTGCAAACGAATGTTTTGAAGCTCCGATAAGTAGGTTTTGGCCACAGATTCCTCTTTATCTTCTGTAAAAAGTACACAAACATCATGAATTTTTCTAGCAGCCAGCCAAAACATCATTAGCACATGTTAATAAAACATCATTGATAAAAAGGCCCCATATTTACTTGGCTCTTATAATTAAGTTTATCTGGTATCAATATAAACATATAAAAAAAAGGTAAAAACATTTTCCAATATGGTAGAAAACTAAAATTAAAGTTCTCCTATGCTATGTATGTGTGATACCATTAAACAAATGCAGCTCTAATCAACTGATAAGGACATATAGAAGCAGCATTGCTCGGCAAAATAATTCTGATCTCTGTCACTTCACCTAAGATAAGGGTCTTTCTACCTGGCAGGTTTTTTTTCTTTTGAATGTGATCCTTTAATTATAAGACTCCCTTTTCCAATTTACTCTGTTCCTTACCAGTCTCAATAAAGTCCACAAGCTTTCTGCACTGCTCCTTACAAGTCTCCACCTCTTGTTCCATGTTCAGACGATCAGTAGGTGAGAACAGTTGGGAGTCTTTGCTATCCTCCATAAAATCGTCAAGATGAGACTGAAGACTGGAAAGTGTCTGTAGCCTCTCTGACAGAGGGAGCACCCTAAGCTGAAGGCAGATAAGATAGATTACGTCATCAGAAAATGCATAAAGCAAGTGAGAGATTTCAGCATCATACATCTAAACAGACAACTTACCTTGTCCATGTTCCAACTTTGAACCAAATCAATGTCTTTACGCAAATAATGCCATGATATTAAACTTTTTGTGTTTACATGTAACTGATGCCAAAGTGCCATGACTTTCTGATAAAGCTGTTCCACTCTGCAAAATCCAAGAGGTATCATGAGAACACAAACACAATTATGAGCTCCAAAGATCTGTTCCAGAAATCATTTTAATTACCTGCTAGCCATTTCCATTGCTTCTTTGTTCAGTGGAGGGATGAGGAAACATACAGATGGCACCATGGCCTCATTTCCAGTTGTGCTAATCACTTTCCACTTTGTCCTCTGAGAGTTATCTTCAAGTACACATTCCTCATTTCTGCTGATAGTAATCTGACAAGCAGAAGAAACACATTATTAGACCTGGAAAAAATCACCTTTACCTCTAATGCTGGCAATATCCTGGAAGGTATTCAAGCAAAGCACCAGATTTCAGCATGGATTGAGATAATGGAGCAGTAGGCAGTTTCAAAGCAATTAACCATGATCTTCATGTTTTTGCAGTGTATGGTCTATTAACACAATAATAGAATATAGAAAGAGAATATTATGGCTGCTTAGAAATCCTACCTCTATTTGTCTATAGTCACATATTGCTTTGATAGGTAGTGTGCCACTTAAACTATGCTCAGGATTCCTGGGCTTCAGCTGAACAATGTTCTTGGACCTTCCCACCAGGCTGGCAACTGTACTCCTTGAGTGAATGAGTTGCTCCTTCTCATCCTAGACAGAAGTGACAATGCCTGTGAGTGTGACATTCCTCAACAAACAATACAAGCACATCATAACAGGGCGACAAGACGGTGGTGGTTCATCTCACCATGGAGTCTTGCAACATGTCTTCCAAACGATTCATACTAGTACTGCGATCACATGAATACTTTCTCTTGATTGACTCCTGGAGATTCTTCAAATAAACCTCGGAATCTCGCACATCACTAAAGAACTGTAAGATGACAACATGTGGTTATGCAATTACCTGAAAACTATTGATGACAATCATTAAATGAACATAGAAAAGACAAATTTACCTGAAAATAAGAAGAATTTTCCCTTAAATGTTGCTCCACACAAAGACATAACTGCTGGACCCACTGCCACTGAGAAACAACTGCTGCACTGTATGCCTAGAGGAGACAAAAAAGCAGGACACGTTGAGACACTTAGATGACAAGACTATAAACATGCTGGACTCCTGGAAACAAGAGCCTGTCTACATAAAATGTTTTCTAATTTTTGGATGGGAATGTGATCATCACAAAAGCAACATCTTTCCAGAGAACTCTTTAACAAAGAATACCACTAAGACTAAGAAAAATGGATGTCATAAAAATATTTTGGGAATGATGGTTGTTTTGATATGTAAAGTGCCTGGGTTCCCTAGTAGTTTGTGTTCTCCAAACCAGGTAGCCCACTGAGCAACTATAAGTAGTCTTAGAGCAAATGAAAATACGATTTCATTCATATACAATTTATGAAAAAACAAGGTAGCACTTATTGGGTTGTGCGTAATGCAAATAATGTAATGTGGGTAAAATACCCTTAAAGAACACATTACAGGATTCAATTTACAAAATAAAGCTTTTAATGCACAACACAGACAACATTTTAAGACCATACACTTCCCCACTAAGCAATACAGACTAAAAACATGCTTATTGAAATGTAGCTCTTTTATACACATACCTCCACAGTTTGCTTAGCTGGGTGATTTTCAAGGGACAAGAGTTCAGCTGTCTCTTGCAAAGATTGAATCACATCTTGTTTCTGTTCCAGTTCTTCAGTCAGTTCCTGGGGAAGAGACAATCAAAGTATTATCACTACACCATCAAATCTCAAGGCAATGCCAAGCTCATACACAAGTCAAACAATGTTGCAGGCTGCGACAAAAATTTTAATGGGGCAGATTTAAATATGCAATTTAATAATGCAAAGGGAAATATAAAGATCTGAATATACTGTTCCACATTAAACTTACAGCAAAGTATTCTTTCTTTGCCTCCATGTTAGAATTTCCATCACTCCAGTCATAAGCCAGCTCCTCCTCTTCCTTCTCATTTAGCCAAATAATCTGTGCGGTGGCACGAGACACAAACTCATAAAGGCTCTTCAAGTGACGTAAGCGTGAACTACTGGTCTCCTACAGAGCAAAAACAATAATGATCATTCAATCTTTATGTGATGACAAAGAAATTGTAGGTGTTTAATAGCGCATTTGGTAGTATAGAGTACTGGCCTGCAATTGTTTGACAACCTCCTATTCCAAAATGTTGTGATGTTGTCAAACTCTGCCAGAAGCATCATCAGTTTTAGAGAAAGGGGTAAGCAGTATGTGTGTTTATTAATAAAGCCCAAATGTACTGAATATTTCTGTAGAGCACTGAACCACTCGCATCAGGCACTATGTACACAAAAACTTTCAGGATGATATCTAACAAGTCAAAAAATGACATCACCTAGAGCAGTGGTGGCTAACCTTGGCACTCCAGCTGTTTTGGAACTACAAGTCCCATGAGGCATTGCAAGGTTCTGACAGCCACAGACATAACTCCCAGAGGCAGATGCATGTTGGGATTTGTACTTTTGGCACAGCTGGAGTGCCAAGGTTCGCCACCACTGACCTAGAGGAACTGAGGGAGAAAGCACGAGTATACCAAGAAAACATGAGGCATACACAGAATCCACCAGGACACCAATATTACCATGTAATAGTACTAAGCACTAATCTACATACTGCAAAGTTGACAAGAACCTAAGAGATTAATACTACATTCCAATATAGTCATACGCAATCAGTACATCAAGAACTTACCCGTAGTTTGCAGTACTGCATTTCAAGCTTGCTTAAGGTTTCTTTATAACTACTGCGGAAATTTGGAGACATTTTAACCTGTCAAGACAGAAGTCCAGAAGACATGAAAATTTAGGTCAATCATTTCTAAATAAAACTTACAAGAATACATTCAGAACTAATATTAAATAGCACATTTAAAAGAAAACAATGCAAGCACTAACCACCCTTATAAATATGTTATCTTTTATCATGGTCTTTGGTAAAATCCTTAAAGTAGTTTGCTTAGATCTGCAGGAGTATTTACTCATTCACAATGAGACACCCACCTCATAGCTTCTAGCTTCTCGCAAACTTGAAGCTAGATCCTCCACACTTGTGTGGACTTGACTTTGAATTTCCAGCTGTGACTGCACACTGGGAAGATCACTGCCCCACTCTGCTCGCTCCAGTTTCAACTGAAAATAGAATATCGATAAGTGAGATGAATACTACATACATTCTTACTACATCCCCTGGATCTTGGCTTAATCAATCAGAAACTGTATAACCAATAAAAACATTTTTCTCTGTAGACCAATTGACTTACCTGCATTTCTTCCACCCAGGCAAGAAGTTCATAGATAAATCTGAGGCTGCCCTCATCTTCAGAAGATGACAGTGCAAGCAGCTCTCCCCTGCTCATTGGTTTACGAAACCATGAAGTGGAAGAAGGTGCTGAAGTATTAAGGGTTTGCTGGTGAGATGTGTTCCTAGATGTGGAAGTTTGCAGATCTGAATTGAAGAGGTTTCCCTTCCTGTACAGGCTGGAGTACTCAAGTCTGAGTGTGAGAAGTTCATCCTGTATCCTCAAAACTCTAAAAAAAAAAAAAAAAAAAAAAATTTAAATGGCACTGATCAAAAAGGC